GCTCTTCCTTAATATCACTCGCCTCAACTTATTTATGCAAACTTCATTCATAATTACAGCATGATCTTTGTGCCCTTAAATGAGTATCGAAGAAGCGAAGGTACTATTATAGGCCATTCAGCTGTGCTTGCATTGAGGTACTGGGAATGAATGTACGAAATGATGTTGAAGATGATTTTAATCATTGGTCCATTAATTGTTAACTTTTTATCAGCATGTCTCATCACACAGTTATGAAATATGAAAATTATTAGCGTAACATGGAATTATCAAAGATGTCGCTGCACTGAGGGCTCAAGTTTCATTACTTATTTCATATTGAGTATTGAAGGTTGTGAGGGACTGTCATAAGGTCACCGATAAGTTAATCATTTCCCTCACATGGTTCGATGACATTAATAGTTGAATTCCAGAAATGAAGTGATTTTAGATTTCACGGAAGTTATTATTTTTCCTTCACCTTACTAATGGTGCATTTGGAATGTTATGGGACACCCGCCGCTTCAGTTTTAGCGTCCTAGTCTGGAGCGAAAATTTGAAAAATGGATATCAAAAATTCATTACTCGTCTCGATACATTTTCTAATCTATCTTTGTTATTTGTGGATGCACACATAGTTTCAGTACCAACTTTCGTATCGATCCTGTCAATCAAGCCAATCATTGCTCTCTCATCGCTTAATCGACGTTTACTATCCTAAATAGCCCTTTCTGAATATATTTAATTGATTTAATTTAATAAAATTTCATTCCAAAAGTTTCAGCCATTCCAGCAAAAACAGCCTGTACTTTCGCTGTTTGTCAATCCACCGAGGGAATCAGTTAGAGAGATGAATTTTGTTTCGATTAAAACCGCATCCTTTTGCTGTATAACTCGCAGTTTGTGATCAAATTGAGAAAGCTGCATATTTTGGGTTCCAAATCCAGAGAAGGCTATTATGAGCCACAATTCATCACTCATTATTTTTTGCGAGAATGAATTCGTCTGAGCTCAATTAGGCTTTTGATTCCAAACAAAATCATTTCGCACACACCTCAATCGTGGGACAAACTGAGTGTATGGCTGTCAGAGATTTCGATCACCAATCCAGTTCCCCCTACCAACCACTACTATCCTTGGCTTTGTACAGGCTTCTGATCTGTCAACAATGGAATCTCAGCATAAATGATCCGTCAGAACCGCTTTTAGAAATGTGAGGAAGTAGCAACTGTTAAAGGAAACTGTCAGAGATCAGTGTCAATCAATGAATTCATCTCCCTCTCTCATCCATCTTTCAATACTCTTTGGGGTTTCCCGAGGACGAATGCATATTAGGAGGGAGAAGGGATGCAGAGAAATATGTTCGATAAGTCATTTTCATATCACATTCTCATCCACTCCGCTCACAGTTTCCATCTGCATTCTTTCAGGGGCTCTTATATGCACATGCCCGAACGGTTCCAATCGATCGGGCGTTGTCGGGAATGTGGTGGGAAGGGATTGGTTTGAGAGGAATTCGAGAATCACAGAGAGAACGACAAAGAAATGAACGTTTGAGAAGTTCGCTGAGTCAACTTGCACAATGCACTCTTTCCACTGACCCTGAACAACCCTTACTTTTCTTCCAGGCTCTGAGCTTTGGACTCTGGGAACATTGGGCGAGACGATACAAGATGGATGCC